TTGTATTCAGTAAAACTCTCAGTTCCTTGAGAGAATGAGAAATGTTTCACAAATCTATTTCCCAAAGTTCACCACTCAGTAGTTATGTATATCTTATGATTTGAATACAGAAAGAAGAATGGGAACTAACATTATTCACTGTCAGATATTGTATATACTTAATTATAAGCCATAAGTTTTATTCTCACACAGTCAATAAATTGCCCTTTGTGGCACATGTGTCTTTATGTGAGAAATTTGTAGATATGTAGCTGTAAATTAAGGGGTTTGTGCTCAGAAACACCCACATATACAGCACCTATCTGTAAAATCACTTTTAAAAAATACTTCGTTTCTGTAATTGCCATCTACTTAGATTATGATGGTCAATGCTAAAGGCAGAGGGTTAGGAAAGCTAGCAAAGCCATCCAAAATGACACTGGTCTTTGTGCTGGAAAGGCCTAATGGGTCAAGAAGTCTCAAAAGAGGAGAAAAACCTCAAAACTCCTCTTTTAGAGGAGCACTACAGATACCAGTGCCAGAAATACAGCTTGACCCTACAGGAGAATCAGGTAAGCAAAGATATGAGGTGGGTAATAAACCCCAACAAAAAGAGGCCCAGAGGAAGCTGTGAGTTTAGAGGAGAAACACAGGGGACCTCTCTGGAGGGTGATGTTGGAAAGCAATCAAAACTTACTTAAGAGCTGGGAAGGTGGCTCAGTGGTAGAGCACTTGCCTTGCATACTCGAGGCCCTGGGTTCGATTCCTCAGCACCACATAAGAAAAAAGCCGGAAGTGGTACTGTGGCTCAAGTGGTAGAGTGCTAGCCTTGAGCTGAAGAGCTGAGGGACAGTGCCCAGGCCCAGAGTTCAGGCCCCACGACCGGACCCAAAAAAAAAAAAAAAAACTTACTTAAGAAAAAAAGTATATACTCTTTAATCTGACAGTTCCACTAATAAGTTTTTACCTATGAATCATTTGTAAAAATATTCCCAGTGACAAAGACTAAGCCTACTAGATAAAAGACTGACTGAATAAACACAAAAATACAAATGCAACTTAAATGTTTACATTGGGGCACTACTCAAATGATGTATAATACATTCATAAAGAATAAGACCAGAATCTCAAAGACCTGCACGATAATTACAATAAAACAAGGTACACAGCAGGTAGACTGTGAGCCCATTTGGGATATGCATACATAAGTGTGACACATGTGTCTGCATGCATGCAGGGTAGGAAGTGTACCTTTCCTTTTTTTCCTTTATAAATATACAACCAACTATGAACAATGGTCACATCTTTAAGAAAACGTTTGGGTGTTAACAAATGTAAGGGGATAAGGTAGCTGAATGCCAGTAGCTCACACCTATAATTCTAGCTGATCAGGAAGCTGAGATCTGAGGATCACAGTTTGCAGCCAGCCCAGGCAGGAAAGTCCATGAGACTTATCTCTAATTAAACACCAAGAAGCCAGAAGTGGCACTGTGGCTCAAGTGATAGAAGTCAAAAGCTCAGGAACGGCACCCAGGCCCTGACTTCGAGCCCTGGGACTGGCACAAAAAAGGGGGATATTGAGAATATAGTAAGGAATTCACCTCCTCTTTTAATACATCTGTAAAATTTCACATTTGAATTATATGCTTGTATTTTTTAAAGTATAAATAATTTTTAAGACTATGTGGAAATACATAGAAATATTAGCCCACAAAGACATGCATTGACAAATATTATTAGCATCTAGACATCACTGAATATAAAATTACTGTCTCCAAAGCAGATGGTTAGGAACATTTACTAGATGTTTTATGTGCATAATTGCCCAGTGGGATTTTACTTGCTTGAGCAGAAATGCTACTTATAAAATCAGGAGGTTAATGCAGAAATTAAAAGGATTCATCAGTATCTCAAGGAAATCTAGTGAAATCCAAACATGACTTTCTCCTGAAATCCAAACATGACTTTCTCCTTCTCCCTGGTAAATTCTGCTCCAGATGTGAGCAAGCTAACTGTATTATGCCAGTGCATTCCACTCATGAAAATGGGTATGTAATTGGCAGTGTGACAGTTCAACGTGAAAGTCATTGTAAGTGTATGCCTTTTTAATTATCCAGTGTGATTATCTGTTAAAAATAATGATATGTTATTTGTAGACACTAATTTTAATCTCAAAAATAGCAGTATGTTTCATGTACCTCAAAACCTAAATCAGTAATGCAGCCCTCTGAAAACTCATTTTCTTACTCTTATTCCAAGAGACCCATTTTCAAGGAGGTGCAAACAGGCACAATGAATGTCACTAAACAGATATTCCAGGATTCCAGTGATACATGGTTTATGCCGAAGGTGCACATATGTCCATGTAGAGCAATTCAAAAGTAAAGTCTCAAAGCAGGGCGGGAGGTGAAAATGATGATAATGGCATCAGGATTAAGCCAGAAATAGAGTTTGCTTTTCAGAGAAAAACTGGAAATTTGTTCATGTAGACCAAGATGACTGAATCCTGAGACGAGGGGATAATGGTACTAGCAGCTTTAAAGGAAATGATGTTGATCTTTAAAATGGAAAATATGTTTAGACTGAGGGAGGTGGTCTCAAATGTTAAAAAAAAATTAAAAATCAAGAAAAAGTACAATTGCTAATAATGATTAACTTTATAGTATCCTCAGTGGGTCTGAGCCACCTAGTTATTTTTCTGGGATAATTTCTCAAACATTTGCAGCATCAGAATCATCTAGATTGTTAATATTTAGGTTGTTAAAATGTTCCTAAAATATCTATTTAAAATTGCTGGGCCTCACTCCAAAGTCTCTGATTCAGTAATTACTCTTTAGGGCCAAGAAATTTGTACTTCTAATGACCTCCCAGAGGATGCTTGTGCAGATAATCTAGGCCAATTCCTGGAGAACCACTACCCAGGAACAGCTGAGGACATACAGCCTGGAGTGCACTTGTCTCTTTTGGAACTTCTTTTTGTTGTTGTTGTTTTTGTTGTTGTTGTTGGCGGTGGTGGTGGTGGTGGTGGTGGTCATGGCGCTTGAACTCTGGGCTTGGGCGCTGTCCCTGGGCTCTTCAGCTTAAGGTGAGCGCTCTATCACTTGAGACCCACAACACCACTCCCGGTTTTCTAGTGGTTTTTTGGAGATAAGAGTCTCACAGACTTTCCTGCCCAGGCTGGCTTTGAACTGTGATCCTCAGATCTCAGCCTCCTGAGTAGCTAGGATTACAGGCATGAGCCACCAGCATCCCGCTTTCTTTTGTAACTTCTAAAAGATGTCATCAACCTGCCCCTAAGGAACTGGCCCTGTGCTTATCAACCTACCTTCCAGAGAGGCTGAGCCCCAGGAAACAGCTCAAAGCTGGCTCATCAAACCCCCATGTACCTGGCACTGAACCACAGAATACTTTATGTATATTACTTTGCCAACTATAATGTATAAATATACAACCACAAAACCACACAAATAGCTATAACACACACACACACTAGTAAATGATGGTAGCCCGTAAAAAGATCAAAATCAGAAAGGTGAAATAGTCGACCATCCCAAAAGCTGCCACCACAGGGGTCTGCTGGCCATTCTGGCAACATTTAAATTTCCAGGAATACATAGTTATAAGGAAACAACCACTCAGGCAAGAAAACCAGGTGACTATACATTGCTATGAAGGTATTTTAGGTGCAATTAAAAATTCTGAGATGTGGATGGGTTGCATTCAATCAGTTGAAGACCATAACAAAAAACACTAAAGTCTCTGAGAAAAAAAGACAATGTCCTTCTACTGACCTGGGACTTAAGTCTGCAACATCAGCTTTTCCCTAGACCTTTGGCCTGCCCTACAGATTTCACACTTGTCGATTCTTTGAAATAATTCTCTAAATATACAGGAAGACAAACTTAAAGATGGACATCCATATTGGTTCTGTCCTCCTGATACACTTCATAATTCTCCATTTCTTTCCTTGATTAATGGTCAAGGGTCTCCTTTGACCTATGAAGTTAACATTACCTTTTATTATGGAAGTGAAATAAGCCAGGAAATTACATGGGACTCTTACTCACATCTGGAATCTACAAGGCTTGACAAAGAAGTGGAGTGGAATGGTGGTGTCCAGAGGCTGGAGTGGGTGGGGAGAGAGTATAGAGGACAGATCAACAGGCACTAATTTGCAGTGAGCTGGGAGGAAGAAGTTCTAGGGAATTATTGTACAGTATGAGCACCACTGATAACAAGAATGCCTGTACATTTCAGAAAGCTAGGAGAAAGGAACTGAAAACTTTCTACCAAAAATAAATGAAAAATTATCCAGGTGCTGGTGGCTCACACCTCTAATTCTAGCTGCCAGATCTGAGGATCTGAGGATCCAGGTTCAAAGCCAGCCTTGGTAGAAAAGTCAGTGAGACTGTGAGACTGTCATCTCCAATTAACCAGAAAAAGCTGGAAGTGGAACTGTGTCTCAAAGAGTAGAATGCTAGCCTTGAGCAAAAAAGCCAAGCAACAATATGAGGCCCTGAGTTCAAGCCCCAGTACTGACACAAAGATAAAGGAGGAAAAAAACAACAACAAAATGAAAAATGTGAAGGTACTATTTAACTTGATTTAAATATGAAATAATGCATAAGTATATTTTAACAATAACATTACATGATACCCAATAATATAAATTTTTTTATGATTTTCCATATCCTTTGAAAATAAACTTAAAGAAAATAAAAGAGGGTTGGGGATTGACCTAAGTGTAAAAGCATTTGCCTGGCAAGTGCCAAGGCCTTGAGTTTGGTCCTCAGCACAGAAAAAAACAAAGTAAAATAAAATAATTACCTTTTCAAATGGATCAACCATTTGACTGGTCAAATGGACCAGTCTCTTACACTCTATGACAGGATATGTAAAACTTAACTACCACCAGCAGCTTTGGGGGAATGAGCTGTGCCTTTAGGCAGATTCCATAACCTAAAGGCACCATGCACCGCAGCAGCAACTCTGCTAGGAGAGGTAGGGAGCTCACATCTTACCAAGCATCCTTCCTGGGCCACATGCTCTTTGGAATCCATGCTAAGCTTCCTCTTCCTACTGGGCTGTTTCATGGCCACTGCAATACTCCTTAATAGTGGGTTTCTGCAAAACAGCACCGCATGGAAAGTTGAAGTATGCGAGTACAGTGGTTTTTCCTCTTCAGAATTACAAAAATAAACCCAAACTGTTGTTGTGTTTGGGCTAAGATTTGAATGTGTCCTTCAAAGGTTCATGTATTCAAAGCTTGATTCTTAACGTTGCATTGTAGAGAGGAAAGCTTTTTATAAATACAGCTAAGTGGGGCTGGGAAGGTGTCTCAGTGGTAGAGCGCTTGCCTTGCATGCCTGAGGCCCTGGGTTCGATTCCTCAGCACCACATAAGCAAAAAGAAAAAAGCCGGAAGTGGCGCTGTGGCTCAAGTGGTAGAATGCTAGCCTTGAGCTGAAGAGCTGAGGGACAGTGCCCAGGCCCAGAGTTCAGGCCTCACGACCAGACCACCCCCCCCCAAAAAAAACATACTGTCCTTAAAAGGAATCTAATAGAGTTCTCATGGGGACCTCAGTTAGTTTCCAAGAATTGTTTGTTTGTTTAAAGTAAAACATGATTACAGACCAGATTGTGTGAACCTGTAATGCCAGCTACTCAGGAGACACAAATAGAGAAAAAGGAGGTCCCAAGCCAGCTAGGAAAAAAATGCTGGTGAAACATCATCTCAATCAATAAGCTGGGTGTGCTGGTGCATGCCTATACTGTGGTCACAGCTGTATAGAGGGTCATGGCCATAAGCAGAAAGACTAAAGTCTGTGCAAAAATGCAAAAGCAAACAATGCAAATAAAGACCCCTTTTTAAAAAAGGGGATGTGAGTATGGTAAAGCATCTGCCTGGCAAGCATGAGGCTCTGAGTTTAAACCTCAGTACCACACACACACACACACACACACACACACACACACACACACACACACACACCCCACAGCCTGGTCACTCCTTGCCCACTGTGGCCTCCCATCCTCCTGTGCAAATGCTCACTCCTACCACCATGATGCCATTGCTACGAGATGAGATCTTCACCAGGTTAACGCCAGCACCATGCCCTAAGAACTGTTAGCTAGTATTCCATGATAGTAACAAAGCACTAACACACATGCTTCCAATTACTCTTCATACATTGTTTGCTGACAAAAAAATTCACTAATGCTCTTCCAGCCCCTAAGATAATAATAAAAATAATGGAGGAACAAATGGGATTCCTATCAAACCGGGGATTTCTATCACAAAGAAAATAGGTATTATGATTTTGTTCTTTATCTATGATAAAAAATGATTGTTTTCTTTTTGCTGAGCTGACTCAAGCAGTTAGAATCCCCACCATCTCTCCTCGGCCACGGTACTCACGTAGTCTGAGAGCCCACCAGTGTCAAGGAGAAATGATTCTTGATAAGAGGTATCTGCAGTCATGCAAGACATAGAACAGCCATCTGAAAGACAGAAATAAGAAAAACATCACCTATTTACATGACTGTCTTCCAGCATGTTAATAAAGAGTCCTTAACATTCTTTGAGGTGGATACTGGTAATTCTATGTACTAAGGAGGTGGAGACTAAGAAAATGATTGAGGTTCAAGGCCAGCCTGGGCAAAAAAATTTTCAAGAATTCCATCTCAACAGAAAAATATGGGCATGGTGGTATATGCCTGTCATCCCTGCTAGGGCAGGAAGTGTAGGACTGAGGCAAAAGTCAGCCTAGGCAAAAAGGGCTAGAAACTGGCTCAAGTGATAAAGCACAAGCCCAGCAAGCACTCAGCCCTGACATCAAGCCCCAGTATGGAAAAAAATGATTTGAAATGAGATTTCTATAGAGCAGAATAATCTGAAGAATCAAGTATGAATACCAATAGACCAATTATTCAAAAACAAGTCACATTAAACACTTTTATCAACTGATGAATAATTGTTCCATAAAATTTACCAGCCCTGTATCACCTACACTCCCATGTTTTAGGATCATACATCCAATGCTTCATTGGTATATCCACCTGAACAACGACCCTCTAAATACGATGGATGCAGGCTCTGGTGGCTCACACCTGTAATCCTAGATACTCAAGAAGCTGAGAGCTGAGATTCCAAGCCAGCCCAGGGACAAATCTGTGAGAATCTCATCTCCAATCAACCAACAAAAAGCCTGAAGTAGAAGCATTGCTCAAGTGGTAGAGCACCAGCTCTACCAAAAGTCAACTCCAAAAGTCAAATAAGATCACAAAAGCCCTGAGTTCAAACCCAAGTACTGACTCAAAAGAAAAGAAGTAAAGAAAAAAAAAAAGAAATGCTAGGAACATAAACTTACTCACAACTGAGGCCCTTGTTTACTCTTACACAGGACCACTTAGGTCTATTCTCTCTCTCTTTCTCTCCCTCTCTCTGATGACAAGATCTCGCTCCCCTCTCTCTGATGGTCACACTTCCATGACAACTGGCTACTATTAGCCCACAGTTGACCTTACAGTTGTTACACTGTGCACTGCTAAAGAACACAGGCCAAGGAGCAAGTAAGTGGAGGCTGAAATCCATGTGCTCTCTGCAGTCACTGCTTCTCTTACCACAGCATAGCATCTACCCAGGAAAACAAATGCATCTTTACCTACCCCAAACCATGACCTCCCTGGGGCTAATGGCAGCCCAGACTCTGCCTGAGCCAGACACCTAACGTCACTAATTAACATTTCATCTTTTAGGTCTGTCACACTCCACACATTATCACCAGGTTTTTTAAATTTTTAATCCACCACCTATTTCTTGACTCTTCTTCCTCTACTTTATGATCTATTCAAAGGCAAACGTCTCAGTTCTTCACATCACAGTAGGTCTGCCCTTTTGCAGCCCCAAACTTTAGCTGGTCCTTAGCTTCCAAGTACCTTTTCTATTTACTGTACCCACCTTATCTCTTTAAGGTCAAAGAGACTTCAGTTCTTTCAGGAAAGCCTTCCCAATGAGCCCTGCATATCTTACTTACAATCCAGGGTCCTGAGGCGTGTCTTTCAAATAGCCCTTAACACTTCAGATTTTTGTATTTTTGTCTATCAGGAGATATGTCTCCTGAAGACAAGGATTTCCCATTATCTGGATTGTACCTGGCTTACAATAGACTCAATACACATTCGTTCAGCTGAACTGCATATATGTGACTTCTTGCATTACAAGGAGCCTTAGAGCCCTTCCAGTCCAAGGGACATCAGTTCTGGAACCCTATTTACTGTCTAAAATGTTGTAGGATCAGAAAGAACATTATTCTCAGATTGGACTCCTGTCTTTTTCTTTCCTTAAAATACAGAAAAACAACCAATCAACAAAACCATCAAATTCTAGTCAGATAATGTCTGTGTTCTTAAGACAGGCATGCACCTACTGAATTCAGTAACACTGCATTCATTTTGTAGGATGTAAATACAGGCTATCATGCGTGGCTGCTTCTAACGCTATGGACATCTATGCAAATGAGTAGCTTAAACTTGCTGCCTTTAGCAAAGTAAGAGCACATCAGACATATAAGCCTTGCCAAGGCTGACTTGCCTTTCATGATGAATCATACCCCATGGCTTGTCAAACAGAAATCATCTTCTACTGACTTCGAGGTGGTCTGCCTTGCTAATCCTTGGTAATTATCTTAATAACCTGTTTCGCTTACAACAAGTAAGCCTGAACTTATCATGTTATATATCAGGAACAAAATGAAATTTTATACCAAAGAATAGAATTAACACATGTGACAACGGAATCCCTTAAGATTCAGAAATAATAAATCAAAAGTATGAGACACCCAATGATCTACATATTAATTTTGTTACTAAATAACTATGGAATCAAATATAAAACGTCATCAACTATAATGCATAGAAAATGAGTGATACAGGATAGATGGACAGTGTGACACACAGAAAAACAGACTGCTAGAGAAGTTTTGTACAGTCTCTCAGAACGCTACTTCAGAATGTGCTCTAACCAACACAACAGAACACTTCTGTTTTTGTGCCCATATTGGGACTTGAACTCAGGACCTGGGGGCTGTCCCTCAGTTTTTTCACTCAAAGCTGACACTCTATCACTTGAACATCAGCTCCATTTCTGACTTTTTAAAAAATTTAATTGTAGATAAGCATAAGTGTTTCAGATACTATTCTGCCTGGGCTGGCTTCAAACTATGGTCCCAGATCTCAGCCTCCTGAATACTAGCTAGTATTACAAGCATTAGCCACCAGTAACTGGCATAATATATCTTTTGAAAGAAATGAACTTGCTTTAGCCCAGTACCAAAATACACAGATCATTCTGGATGTCTGATATATGGCCTACTCCCAAGGACCCCAATTGTTATAACAGCTACATGCCTTTTGCTGAGTTGTAAAGAAATTGAAAAGTTCTTTGAGTCAGGAATGAATATACTAAATCATAAAGGGCAGTAATGAGACATACTATCCAGAGGAAGAAAAAGTGGATGACGTTTTGGCTTGGTAATACCATTCAAGCGCTAACTAGATAACCAGGAGTGGGGGAAGGGGGGAGGGATTTCAATCAGCAAACCTCAGTAAAGTGGAGGATTTTTGTAGTCATTGTTTGGTTGGTTGGTGATAACAAGGGCTTTGACTCAGGGCCTCATGTTCTCATTCTACTTGCTTGCTCACAGCTGGAGCTCTACCACTTGAGCCATGCCTCCAGCCTAGATTTTTGCTAACTATTTTGGAGATGGAGTCTTGAGAACTTTTCTGCTTAGACTGGTCTCAAACTGTAGTCCTCTAGGATTGAGTCTCCTGAGTAGTTAGAATTACAGGCTTAAGCTATCTCTGTCTGGCTATAAATAAGATTTTATACTAAAATAAAACAAAACAAAAAACAACAGGTCTGTGTATGTAAATCATTTGCATTTCTATGGAAACCTGGAAATACTGTGTTCATTTTTCAATGTAATCTTCTTAATCAGGTTGATTTCTCTTAATACTCAGGAGAAGTTTCAGTTCCACTGCCAAACATTTGTCTCCCTGACCCTTTCCTAGTTAAGAAGACAAATTGAATTTCTCAATGAAGCATTTAGACATTTCCAATTTATCTGATTAAGGAGAATTGCTATAAATAAAAAATAACTTGTTGTTTATATCCCAGTGCTATTAGTAATTTTTTCAAAAATACTTGTTGTTCACCTACTGGCATCCACACAGGTGCAGGTACTTTAGGGTGGAACAAAAAGCTATATCAGACACCCTAGGAAGGAAGGTAAGCACAGGATCCCCACCTTAGGTAACAGCAGGGTTCTGCTTTCTTTCTCTCCTTTCTCTCTTCTGTTCCCCCAAATGCCCCAGCTTAAACAAGAAATTACATGGAGCGGACAAATAAGAAACTTACAACAAGCCAGACACTAGGGGCTCATGCCTGTAATTCTAACTACTCAAGAGGCTGATATCTAAGAATCAGAGCTCCAAGCCAGCCCAGGCAGAGAAGTACTCAAGACTCTTACCTCCAATTAAACAACAAAACGCTGGCCTGGAGGTATGGCTCGAGAGATACAGTGCCCGTTGTGAACAAGCATGCTGAGTACGAGCAAAAGGCCTTGATTTCAAACCCCGCTATTAGCATAAAAAGAAGGAAAAGGAGGAGAAGAAGGAGGACTATGAAGAGGATGAGGAAGAACAAAAACAAGACGAAGCAAATCCACTCACAAGAAATTCAGGCATACCATTAAAAACTACAACGTGACAAGGGTGTTCCTAGGAGAAGGCCATGCCCAACAGTCAGTACCTGGAAGAAGAGTCTACTCTAAGAAATTGTAGAGAATTTAAAATGAATTTGACAGCCAAATAGTAATACAAAGGTCTGATTACAGCACTGATTCCTCCCCACTTCAAAAATGTTAGCAGGCTCTAAAGTTTTTTATCAGCTGACACTCAATGTGAAGAAGGCAAATGGACTGGTATCGTAATAAATGAATAAGCACTTACAATTGAATGCATATTGGCAACTTAGTCATGAACTGAACAACAGCCAGCACTTCCTGCGCGTTCATGTGCCAGGTACAACAATGGTCCTGTATGCAGTTGCCAGGTCTAACAACCCACAACATGGAGGCCACCCCCCGACCCCCACCAGTCATCTTACAGATGAGAGAACACTGACAGAAGGAAGATTGAGTACCCCCTTAAGACTGTGAAACAATCCCAGTGTCCCTCTTTAAAAATATGTGAAGCTATAGCTCTTATAGCTACAGCTAGTGTTAGTTTAGTTATTGAAATTTACCCAGTCAGTAGACTAGTCATACACAAATCGAAGTCAAAAAGGGACATCCAGCTTCCTCTGAGCTTACCTGTACCTTTGTGTTGCAATGCATGCACTTGCAACAGGGCAACTGCTTCCTTGTACGGATTTTGCAGTACTCAGGGTCTCCTGTTTGGTAGGCAGGAG